AGCAGCATCTAGAATCTACTTAGTAAGTAACTTAGAAGGCTTAGAGATTAAAATAATTAGCTTAGTACTATAAAGGCTGCTATTTAATCTACTTAAGCTTACTGCCTTATAAGTAAAAAGAAGAATTTAATCTATAAAGATTAGTTAGAGTAGCCTTATTCCTTCTCTTCTCTCTAGGCGCCTTTTTAGATATAAGAAGAGTAGAATAAAATAGGCTTATATAAGCTACTTAAAGAGAGACTTAACTCTAGATTAGTAGAATTACTAAATAGAGCTACTTAAGTGCAGCTTAAGCTAGTTAGAAAAGAAGTAGTATAACTAAGATAAATTAATTTCCTTATTTACGCTAAGAATAGTAAAGTCTAAGCTAGCTAAGGTTAAAGCGCTCTTATTACTAAATACGCTATTAAGCTTATTAGTCTTACTACTAGAAGGCTTAGCCTACTTACTATGCTTAGATTCTAGAGAACTAGAGCTTAGGCTAAAATAATTACTAGTAGGTATCTTAGTCTATTTCTTCTCTTTCTTATCTTAAATAGAGGCTTAATAGGCAGATACCTTTAAAGAGGTTAAATTAGTTAAGAGTAACTTTCTATTAGAGCCTATTTTCTAACTAAAAGAATCTAAATAGAGTTATAAAAGTATAAGTAGCGCAGCTTTCTTCTTATGCTTAGAAGTTAACTTAGATATAGTAGTTTTAGATTATTTGCGTTTAACGCTAGAGAGCTTATTATAACTAGTAATATACTTATAGACCTTATCTATAAGCTTATTTTACTTATTAATATACTTAGAAGTCTGCAAAAGATTAGTATAGAGCTACTATATAAGATTAATAACTACTAATAGTTATAGTTACTATATTACTTATAGCATAGTTATATAAAGCTATTATCTTAGTTATAAAGAGATTAATACTATAGTATAATTAGTATAAGAGATAACTAAAATAAGGTAAGAAATATACCTTAGAATATACTACTTAGAATTATAAGCAGTATAATAACTTAACTTACTACTCTTATTAATATATTTAAGCTTATTCTTAGTTAAGTTACTTAACTACTTAAGAATATAATTAGTATAAAGAGCTCT